TGAAATATATTATTGTGTATTTCTTTAAGTTAACATTAATAGAAATCTTTAAATATTATTTCTACGCGTGTATTATAAAATATGTCTAGTGGCTGTAATGCCAGGGTACTCAGCAAAGTGATTCTAAAAAAGAACACACCTACCGCCTAAATATTTCTTGTTGGTATCATGTGACCTCACGGGTTATGACGCGGATGACGTGCAATGGTAAGTAAATTAGAGGAAGTATATACTATGATATTCATTATTCATGTAAACAATGGGGGGTATAATCATCGAGCAAAAAGATAAAAGAGGGAATCTAATCGTTATGAAAAGGAGACCAAAAAAGTGGCCTCTGATGGCGGGCATATCCGGAAATGCAAAGGCGCTAAATTTAAATTTTCCAACACTTGTTAACAATAGCTGTAAAATATTTTTCAGACAAGAAAGTTTTAATTAAATATTAACGATAATAGTCTAAAAAGTGACACAATTGGTAAAAAACTTCAATATAAATAAAATTTCATGTGACAGTTGGGACAAACAATAACATAACCAAACTAAATTTGACTTCTTAAACAAGGAAAGAGACTGTCTATTCTTGTCTAAAGTGGCCTCTCAAGATGGCACTTCCTGTCTATCAATATGTTTACCCCTTCTACCTTTACATTCCCTCTTTTGTCTTATTGCTCGATGGGTAGGGTAAATCGCCCAGTTAGCCGGCCACTACCAGTTCTCGGTCATTTTCAGACAATATAGTGAATAAATTAGAAGTTTTGAGTGGAACCGCGATTTCTGAGATATACCTCACTTCAGACTCCCTTTACCCCCCACTTCGCACTAAACGCCATTTTTGCAAGCTTGCGTATGTAAAACAAACGTCATTTAAAAGTTGGCTATGGACGAAGATGTATACATGTGGTCGTTATTTAAAAATTTGTTAGTGTGCACCCCATGCGGAAATAGTGATTATTTTGTAAAATACTGATTCTAAAGGTAAGTTTTTATTATTTTTAGATAAGTAATATGTTCAGCTATTGTTATATTTAGAGCCAAACTGATAAATCATGAATTTTAAATGTTTTGTTTGGTGGCCGGTAAACTGGCTTAATTAAAACTGTCAAACCATTTCTCGACCGAGGTGGCCGAGAGCCGGTCTTAAAAGCAAAATATTGTTTGTCTTCGTTTGTGTCACGACTTGATAATAAGTCGTAACCATTTTACCGGCGTATGTAAGACAGTTAGTACTACAAAATAGCCAGTTTTCGGCCGGGCTATCTAAAAAAACGCGGCAAATAAAAAAGTTTAAACTAGCGACCGAGAAAAGGTAAATTGGCCCTTTCTCGGCCATTAACTTTAACTTTAAAGGTTTGATTTGTTTTTAATTATTTTGTATCTAACTACGTGTTCTTTTAAATAAATTTGGGAATCCCCAAAACTGAAAAATATAATTTGACGCAAAATACTTACTAAATTATTCTTTTCCAGATGGCCACCACTAAGCACAGCAAAAAATTAAATATGTCAACGCAGGCAAGAAAACTGTTCCGGTACTCGGAAGAAAATTTAATGCTTGCACTAAATTCTGTAAGAGAGGGCAAAATGAGCACAAGAACGGCTGCGAAACATTATAGTGTGCCCAGGACCACTCTCCAAGACAGGGTGTCGGGGAAAACCCCAGACAATTTACGTAAAACGGGCCCAGAGCCAATCATGACTGTCGAAGGAGAAAAACGCATTAGGGATTGGGTCATAAGTCTGGCCAAGTGTGGATTCCCAATAAAAAAGCAAGAACTAATAGAAACAGTAACTAAAATAGCAACAGAAAACGGAAAAATTGAAAAATTCAAAAATGACAGGCCTGGAGAAAAATGGTATATGTGTTTCATCAAACGGCACCCAGAAATACGATTACGTGAGTCCGAGAGTATTAACAAAGCGAGGGCAGTCATCACGAAAGAATATATTAAGTCCTGGTTTTCAGAACTAGAACAGTTCTTAAAAGAAAACAATATTATGGATATCATGGAAGACCCTTCCCGAATTTTTAATGGCGATGAATCAGGTTTTTCATTGTGTCCGAAAACCGGAAAAGTTCTTGCTCCCCGTGGATATAAAAACGTTTATTCAATTAAACAAGGCAACGAAAAAGAAACATTAACAGTGCTCGTAACATTTAATGCCAGTGGTAATATATGTCCTCCACTTGTTGTTTTTCCTTACGTGAGGCCTCCGAAAGCATTGATAAATAATATGCCAGAGAATTGGGTGCTGGGAAAATCTGAAAGTGGGTGGATGAAAAGCGACGTGTTTTACGAATATATCTGCAATGATTTTAACCAGTGGCTTAAAGACAATAATATTAAGAAGCCAATAATATTGTTTATTGATGGACACAGATCACACCTTAATATATTTCTGAGTGAATTTTGTGAAAAAAATGGAGTAGTTTTGTATGCACTTCCTCCAAACACTACTCACATCCTACAACCGGCTGATGTTAGTGTGTTTAGGCCATTAAAACATGAATGGAAGAAGACCATTCGACTATGGCAAAGTGAACAAGACGTGAATACCGCTGTCACAAAGATAAATTTTTGTCAAGTATTTCAGCAGGCGTTAGATAAAGCAGATATGCAACCATGTATTAAAAATGGCTTCCGAAAGTGTGGCTTGTTTCCTTTGAATCCAAACAATGTTGACTACACTAAATGTGTAAAAAATGAATTAGAAAGAAAACACGATAGCATGGAGCATGCAGAAAAAATAAGCTGTGAGGAAGCCCAAGCAGCAAAAAAAGTCATTAAAATTTTAGAAAAGAAATTAAAAAATAGTGGTATTAACACGGACATAATTTATAAAGCAATAAATGATATAACATTTGGTGTTAACAATGACGGAAATGTGAGACAAGAACAAAAAAAGATACATGTTATAAGCAATATTACCATCAATAAGCAGGATACGATTGCGGATAATCTAAATACTTTTCCTTTGGAAGTAGGAACCGTAGTACCTATGGAGTCACTGCAGATTATTCCTGTTGAAGAAATAAATCTAATGGCATTCGATAATATCTCTATAAATCAGTTTTTTGAAGAACCCCAACACGAAGTACTAAATACTGACAAATATGATGCTTGTGAAATGGAAGCGTTGAATGGCGATTGTGCTCGTTATTGTACTATAGAACAAACTAATAATGGCGAACAGAAAACTGACAAAGAAAGCGTTAATATTGAACAAAAGGTTGAGCAGGACAAAGACAAAACTAAGGAGAAATCGGAAGAACTAAAGGAAAATATTGATCCAGATAGTCAAAACGACAAAAGTAACATTGAAGGAATGGATGAAAATGACTCAGTAAATGATAAAAACGAACAGCCAGAAAAGGAAAATGAATATACCACTAAAAATAAAACAACGGAAATTCAATATAAAGAAGAAGAAGAGAGATTTGTGAAAGAGAAAGGCAAAATGCATGAAAAATCTGAACAAAAAAAAGAAATTACCGATCTAGATGTTCAAAATGAAAAAGATGACACTACACAGAAAAATGAAACAATAAATGATAAATTGGAGCAGGCAGAAGAAGCAGAGGTACCAGCTTATAAAAAAGAAGAGACAAATTTAAAGACGCAAGAGAACGAGCAAAGTAATAAAACGGAATTGGCAGGAATTAAAAACAAAGAAAGAGATAAAGAAAAATGTGTATCGATAAATGTCGAAACATTTTATACGAAAAAGGAAGTAAGAACGCCATTAAAGAATCTACAAACTGAAGCTGAAACTAAGGACTACGCACCAAAATGGTCCCAAGAAAAAACCCCTGCAAAAACTGTGGAAGTTAAAGAAGTGTTAAGCCCATTTTCTCGTCATCTCAGATTTCCGGAGCCTATAAAAAAAGGTTCGGAAAATAAAAAGAAAGAAAAATTGCCGAGTGCTATCTCGTCCAAAGCGTGGAGAAGACATATCGAAAAGCAAGAGCAAGAGAAAAAGAACAAACAAGAAGCGCAACAGAAGAAAAAAGATTGAAGAAAGGAAAAACAAAGTACAAATAGTTCGAAAAAAAATAAAACAGCAAAAAAAAATGTATCCAAGAAATTGAAACTGATGTGTTCTCTTTGCGAAGACGAATTAATAAGTGATACAGAAAATGATTTGTTGAAAAACTTAGGTTGTGATATATGCCCTAAGTGGTTTCATTTAGCTTGCACTGAGTTATCTCATTTATCGTATGATGAAGCTGCAATCAAAAATTTTGTATGTAGTTCGTGCAAATGAGTTTAAAGACAATCAATGCAACTTTAAAAGTATTACTACTGTTTTGAAGAATACCTATACTTATTTTTGTTTAGTTTCAAAGTGTTTTTTGTATTTGTTAGTTTTAAAAATGTAGTGTATGCTTGAGCATATTTTACCGCTTACATGCAATAAAGTTGCTAGGTATTTTGTTATTATTTTCTACTTTTATTTCAATGTTTAATTAACATGGTCGAAAAAAGGGGGTTTTCGGCCACCCGACCGAAAACCGGCATGTCCATGGCCGAGAAAAAAACCACGTGGCCGAGAACTGGCAAAAAGCACATTTTTAATATTTTATTTAAGGAAAGGAAACTAAATAGATTTCTCATTTTTGAATGGACATAAATTAGTTTAGTATACTACAGGCTATCAGATAAAATGATCAAATTTAGAATTAAATCAATCAGGTCTTTTTAAACGTCGGTTTAATGGGAAAATTCAGTTAAGTGGCCGACAACTGGGCAATTCACCCTATAATGCATAGAGAAATAAAAATAATTATTATTATTATTTCTCTATTTTCTTATTTTTATTTCTCTATGGTATAATGTATACTATGATAATGATATTCATGTAAACAATGAATAATGAGCAGTCAATGTCAATGAATGAAACAAATAAATAAATACTAAATACCCATAGTTGCTGGTACCACACGTTTTATTGCAATTGTACTACATTTCTATTATATTTATTCAGTGTATATGTCAACTATGGAATTTAAAGTTGAAATTAAGGATGAGTATAACCAAAAAGGTATAGAGAGTCAGCTTCAGCTATCCACATCAACAGATCTTGAACATTTAAAAAATAAACTAGATAACTCAGGTAAGACAACTAGTAAGTAAAAAAGTGTTAAATATTAATGTGATGTAATTTATTAGAAATGGCACTAAAAGCTAAAATTAAGGAAGAGTTTCCTGAAGGTGGCCAAGGATATATAGAGAGTCAGCTATTTACATCCCCAGATCTTGAAGATTTGATTAATAAACCAGATGAAGATAACTCAGGTGAGAGATGTGATAAAAGTATGTAGGGAGAACTGTGCAAACAATTTGTATGGGAAACAAAAAAAAACTGTATTTCGGAGCACACAAAGAGCATGAAGATGATTATGTGTGGCTTTTCCCAAAATTACAGTTAAATAGGTGACATGGCTATGTATTAAACTGTAATATATTTTTTTCCTATATTTAATTTCTACATAATGCTCTTCCAAGAACTCCTATTGCAGATGAGATTTTTTTGCATAAATGTATGCGATACTCAGAAATGAGTCTATGGTTAATGTACAGTCACAAATATTTAATACATTCCACTTTTTGTAAAGGCCTTGATTCAAGTAATATAGTTAATTGTTTTGACTCTTCTCTCATTTTATCACCATATAATTTGATTTATCTCCATTGAGGGTAAGTTTAAGTAATAATCTAACCATCCCTTCAGTATCTCAAATTCAACATCATTTTTTGCCTCCTTGGGGGTTTTACTAAAGTATACAAGGCAGGTATCATAGGCGTACATTTGTATTTTACCTCTTAATGGCAATATTGAAATTGAATTAGCATAAATGAGGAACACCATTGCACCAAGTATTGAAAGGTAAACTGTGGTCTTCCTGATAGGTAATCATTAAATTTCTTCAACAATATGCCTCTTATGTCTAAAGTTTCCAATACAGATAATAACATCATGTGATCAACTGTATCAAAGGATTCTTTCAAGTCAAAGAGAACTATTTCTGAAGTGGAAATTGAAACATCAATAATTATTATTGATGTTTCAATTTCCACAAAATTATCTAAATGGTGCACACTTCTATTATTTACACATGTTTCCAAAATCTTGGGTAAGACCAGTAAAAGTGAAATGGATCTATAACTACTAGATATTGAGTAGTCACCACCTTTATATACTGGAACATGCTCCCAGTGCCATTTTTAGGGCACTGGGAACACTTCCTGTAGTGAATGTTTAATTTACTAGAGTACTTAAAATACTTGATATTATCTCACTCGTGAACTCTTTAATAGTATCAACTGATAACTTGTCTAGTCTACACATTTACCCTTCAATTTATTTATTATATCTTCAATTTCCTCCTTTGTTGTGAAGCTAAAGAAAATATGTTGGTGGAACATATCCAGAGGGTTGAATGGTCTGAGTAAGTTCTGAACCAACTGTAGCAAAGTAGTTATTGAGCTTGTTAGTGTAGAAGAATTGTTAGAGGAATTATGTATTATGGTGTTTAGTATACTCCAAACCTTTTTTGGACCATTCTCAGCTGCTTTTATCTCCATTTGATAAAATTCTCTTTTTCTCTGTTCTATGTTTTCTGTGAGTGTCTTGTTTTATAAAGTTGTTTTATAAAGTTGAAGTAAATAGTTGCTATTGGGGTACATCTTAGACTGTTTGTAGTGATAGTTTCTTTCTTGTACTAATTTTAGTATGTCAACATTAAACTAGGGGGCACTATTTTTCAAAAACGATTTTTTAGGTTAACTTATATGAGGTTTCTTTAGGAGGTTCTAATTATTTGATCAAACAAAATGTTGGGGTCATCTCTGTTTCGTACAGTAATTGAAATAACTCACACTTAAATCTGTGTTTATTTAGCCTATTAAACACACAATAATGTTCAGATTGATTGGACTGGGTTTGACTGTGTAATGGGATTTAATTATGCATCCAGAAATCAGATCTAAGTAACCCAATTCAGTTTAAAATAAAAGCTTTTTAATATTTAATTTTAGGAAAACCACTGAATCAAATTGTGAATATTTTTTATGATATAGTTTACTTAGCTATAGAATATTTATCCCCCTAAAAAGGTATGCAAAACGTAGATTCTCTTCTTGGTTCTCACCAGAGTTAAAGGATCTGATAGTTGAGAAAAAGAAAGCTCACAAAAAATATCTTTTATCTTAATCACTTCTGGATTCTTGGACTTGGACTCTATGGAAAATCACACATTTTCTCAGATGAGGGCCAACTGTAAATTGTTAAAAGCTGAAGGCTACAGAAATCATATTTATTGTAACATATTATCACTAGGAAATAATTTGAAGGGATTTTGGCCATTTGTGAATTCACAGAGAGGAAAGCCTTCCTTGCCCACTGTGTTGAGTTATGGTGCTGTTGAATCTACACACATTTCTCTACAGTCTATTCCACTCAAATATGTGACATACCCAGTGATTCACCTTCACTTCGTCTTACTAACTTGACTATATGTGATATTTAGTCCTGGCCCTGATGGATTACTCCCAGCTTTCTCAAGAATTGTTCTTGTGGACTCTCAAGAATTTGAGAGTTCACACTGGAGAAAAGCCTTGCAAATGCGAAATTTGTTTCAAACAGTTTAGTCAAAAAAGTAATTTGAAATACACATGTGAAAGTGCACACTGAAGAAAAACCTTACAAGTGTGAAGGTGTGCCAAAGTATTTGGCACACTTTCAAAACAACAATCACAACTATCCTAAAAGAACAACTATAAGACAACATCAGAAAAACAAAGAATACATGGATGACAGAAGAAGTCTTAGAACTGATACGGACATAAGGAGATCTTACAAAAATCGCAATGAAGAAAAATATAAAGAAACCCAGAGAATCATCCGAAACAAAATTAGGAAAGCCAAAGAAGAATGGATGAGCAGCAAGTGTGAGGAACTGGGAGATTTACTAAAAAAGCATGGCTACTTTAATGCATACAAAAAGATTAAGGAAGTCACAAATATGAAGAAAAAAATCACTACAAAAACTTTAGTAGATGATAACAACGAAATAGTATCTAGTCCAGAAAATGTAGGAGATATGTGGGAAAAATACATCAAAGATCTGTTTGATGACGAGAGAACAGAACCACAAATGACTATAGTACAAGAAACAATACTACAAATTACAAAAACAATCAATACGACAATCAATACGGCGAAGCCTCAGGTCCAGATGAAATATACATAGAGATGATAATGCTTATCAATGAAGAAAATCTTCAGACGTTAACACTATTATTTATCAAAATATATATCACTGGAATCTTCCCAGAAGACTGGATTAGATCGACATTTATACCTATACTCAAGAAAAATAAAGCAAGTGGATGCTCACAGTTCAGATTAATTAGCCTGATGAGCCACTTTCGGAAAATTTTACTCAAAATTGTACATCAATGAATATACAGAGAATGAGAAAGAAACCTGCGCGACAATCAATTTGGATTTCGTACGGGGCTTGGTACAAGGGAGGCATTATTTGGCCTCTAGATATTACTAGAAAAATGCCGAGATCAGCGAAAAGACGTGTTTCTCTGTTTTATTGACTACGAAAAAACGTTTGATTTAGTAAAACACACAGATCTCATAGAAACCCTAACATGGTATAAACCATAACACTGTAGCACTTACTAAAAAACTATATTGGGTTCAATAATGGCGTCGATCAAAATAGACAATCGTCTGACAGCACAATTGCCAATAAAAAGAGGAATTCGTCAGGGCTGTGTACTTTCTCCACTTTAATATATATTCCGAAAAGATCTTTCAAAATGCCCTCGAAAATATTGAAGAAGGAATAAAAATCAACGGAAAATACGTGAACAACTTAAGATACGCAGACGGCACCGTCATTATTGCGGACAGTGCTGAAGGTTTACAAAGATTTTTGAATGTCATAACCAGAGAAGGAGATAGCTTGCGACTAAATATAAACACAAATAAAACAAAAGTAATGGCTGTTACACGTGCACCAAATGTCGACATTAATATTCGTATCTATAAAAAACATATAGAACCAGTACAAAGATTCCAGTATCTTGGTTGAAGATAACAAAACATCTTGACCACGAGGTCGAAATACGTGCTCGTATAGATTATGCTAGGTCCGCATTTCAACGAATGAAAAAATTCCTAATAAACTCTACGTTATCATTGGATATCCGACACCAATTTGTAAAAACGTTTGTAAGAATGGGTATTGAGAGAGAACTCCTACATATTGTAAAAAACAGAAAACGAGTTATCTAGGACATATTTACAGAGGAGAAAAATACAACTTCCTTCGACTTATAATAGAAGGGAAAGTGGAAGGAAGAAGAGGTCCAGGAAGAAGTGCTCCTGGTTGAAGAATGTAAGAGACTGAACAGGCATGAACACACATTCGATACTAAGAACAGCTCAAGATAGAGAGCAATTTGCTGTAGTTATAGCCAACCTTCAGTGCCCTGGAGAGGGCACCTTAAGAAGAAGATACCGATTTTGAGATTTGCTGCAACCTAATTTTTTTGGTATTTTTCACGCGCAATACCGATGGTTTTTATTGTTATAATACATATTGTAAATATCTTGAAGGTAAGACAATTTTTATCGAGAAAGAACTCCTTAAAAAAAAGGTAATGGTTTAAAGATTATTATCCTATTTTTTTTAACTTCGTTGCAAATGCCGGTCAACTTTGACTAGTTGTATCTCGGGAACCACTCCTCGTAATTCAACGTTTTTTTCTTTTATAAGAAACGTCTTACCGAGTTTTCTCCAAAGCAGTTTCCTGAATTTAATTTCAACTAATAGTTACCGAGATATTCTATTTGTTTATGAGCCAAATAATTGATTATAATTTTAAAACATTCCTGAGACCGTCCAAAGAATCAGATTTCAACATTATCATTAACGTAACAGGATTGCTGTAATATTGTCGCACACTTTCTTGTCATAATTTGTCGGAACAATTTAAAATTAAATAAAAATCAAACTTGCCTATTATATTCAGTTTTACCAAATGTTATTTTCTTGGTTTAAATAGTTTTTATTTTTATTTTAGGTTTTTCTCAGAACAGAATGGAGGTCCTGAAAACTGAACTTGCATGCCGTACAGAACAACAAATACATACAAACAAGTGTCAAATTTGTTTTATACAATTTAGATATAAAAGTTCTTTGGCTGGACATACGAAAGTTCACACCGGAGAAAAGCCTTACAAGTGTGAGATTTGTTTAAAGCTGTTTTCTCAG